AAGAGATCACCTCACTGAATCATCATAGTGGGAAGAATAATGTATGTGGATGCATGTAGAAATAAATTCCAACAATCTCCTGCTTCTCAGAAAGCCTGTGTTAGTGTGTTCATTTTGTTCAGCTCTGAGACTTTAATTATGTATTTTTGTTGTCTTCAGGTTGCAAATTATGGCGTTGGAGGCCAATACGAGCCTCACTTTGACTTTGGAAGGGTAAGATCTTATGGGATTAACACTTAAATATCTGTAAATGTACAATGTGTTCCTGTATGAGAGACCATTTACACCTGATGTTACCTCTCTCCCACAGAAAGATGAACCAGATGCCTTTAAAGAGCTGGGCACTGGAAACCGCATAGCCACATGGCTCTTTTATGTGAGTTAACTCTCGCCTGAATACGCATTAAAACCAATCTTTTAAACTTCATTTTTTTTTATAACTGGGGCCATCTTTAGACATCCACTCAAATGCATATTTTGTGACGAGTCATTGTTCAAAAGAGTGTTATTATTACATTTCCTAAGATTGTGGGATGATCCGTCGGCGTAAGATTGATGCAGCAATAAAACGTGGCATCACTGGTTTTCATTCTTCAACCATTTCATGAATCATTAAGCCCAATCAAGTGTGGGATCAAGCTGAAACAAAACATATGAAAGTCAAAGTTAGTGTGAACTTTACCAATTTAAAAGCATCTAAATTTGAAAATAGTTATTTGATGTGACTGAAGAAATCTGTTCTGTGTTTAAACCTCACATGGCGGAGGTCTAAAAAAAAAAAAAAAAATGAACAAAACAGTAGCTCATCTGGTAAAGCATGAACCATTTAAGGGCACGCTCGCACGCTTCACCCTTAAACACTAGTTCGTTTGACTAGTGTGAGTGCTCTGATCTGTGCTCGCTTCCTTGGCCCTGGCACGGTTGGAAGAGGTGTGCTTTGGCACAGTACAGTTCATGCACAAGCACATGCACGAAATGTGGACAGCCTTCCATTATCTAGAAATCCCAGAGTGTTCCAACTGTATCTGACTAAAATAACTCAAAATAAGGCACAAAGTCAGTAAAGTTGCAGTATTCTCTGAGTTGTTCTCCAATGTGGTGACGCAGAATCAACTGCACGTCTCCTTTTTTAAAAAAGATTTTATTTTGGGGGTGGGTGGGGGGGGGGCTTCTTTCTGCCTTTATTTTAGAGATAGGGCTTTAGATAGAGGGGAATGACATGCGGGAAAGGAGCCACAGGTCGGATTCGAACATGGGCGGTCCGCATGGAGGCCTAGAGCATCCGTACATGGGGCACGCGGGCTAACCACTATGCTACCTGCGCCCCTACTTTTCTTTTTTTTCTTTTTTGAGTCGTCTGTCTTATAAACTAAGCATGGGGAGGGGGGACAATCATGTTTCAGCAAGGTACAGGACAACTGGGCCTAGTGTTAGTGAGCCCCCTTCTGTCTACCCTGAACCATACCTCTTTGTGTTAAACTGTCACTCTCCAATAGAGACAAAGCAAGCACAAAAAAATCATGTAAAAAAAGTAGCCCAAAAAATGAACAGAAAGCTGGCACTCTCAGCTAAAAGTGGGAGTTCACTTATTATCTTTGAATGCCAGTAATGCTTGCTGCTTGCTTTGTGCTCGTCATAACGTTGTGCCAGTGAACTCTGTCACTCCATGCAGGGAGGAGTACAATTCAGTCCCTGTGGTTAATGGAGCTACTTTAAAACTGAGCCGCCAAAGAATTGGGTGAATGGAGCTCCTCATTTACTTACATCCTTGGTTTTGCACAGACACATTACAAACCAAGGACTATTGGCCATTCATGATTTTGGACTTTTTTTTCCCCCTTCTTTTCCTGAGGTTATGTTTCTGGGCTTTTACATTTAATTTTACATTTTTAAATTTAAATTTTTGGGCTTTTTGCCTTTATTGGAGGGATAGGACCGTGGATAGAGTTGGAAATCAGGGAGACAAAGAGTGGGGATTGACATGCGAGAAAGGAGCCACAGAGGTCGGATTTGAACCCGGGCCGCCTGCCTGGAGGACTACAGCCTCTGTACATGGGGCGTGCACCACCAGTGCCCCGTTCATTTGACAGGACAGCTGAAGATGGATAGGAAACATGGCAACAGAGACTAGGGGATAACATGCATTGAAAAAGCAGCAGGACCGGCAGTCAAACCTGCAACCAGTATGATGAAGACTGTAGCCTCTCTACATAAAAGGGGCACCTCTCTCCCAACTGAGCTAAACTGGCACCCCAGCCTTTTTATACCAGTCTGCAGAAATCTTAGCTTTTTTTTTTAAAGTAACCTCTCTGTTAAAACAGCATCTGCTTTCCTGATAGAAGAAGAAGGACATTATTAAGTTCAATCAATGACCATTTGATATGACATACAAAGACTGACCTTTCTTTGCCTCTCTGTCTGTTGCTGTAGATGAGTGATGTGTCAGCTGGCGGAGCCACAGTATTCCCAGATGTTGGGGCAGCAGTGTGGCCACAAAAGGTAACTGTTTGAAACATTACTGATGACTGTTTAACCGAATTGGTTTTATTGCATATAATTCTAAATGCTGTAATGAACTCCTGGTTGTTTTTGTTTTAGGCATAGAAGTAGAAACTAAAACTATTCATTAACAGCTCAATAAAATGTGTTGTTGCCTCTTGGTGCTTGGTGAGTAAGTTGGCACATTCAATACACAAACAAAACAATCCTCTAATGAGGAACATTTCTCTTGGAGCACTATGTACATAATTACTACATTTTTTTTATTCCTGTCATAGACAGAAAGTTTCCTTAGACAATACAAGACAATATACTTTTTCAGGATCTTTCTTGATGGATTAATTTACAAAACTGATGTAGACTTTCTCGGATTTCTAATTTTTCATGGAGAGTTTGCAGCACTGTTAACCTCTGTAGCTGTTGTGTGTGTTTGTGTGTTTCAGGGTACTGCAGTGTTCTGGTACAATTTGTTCGCCAGTGGGGAGGGAGACTACAGCACCCGGCATGCAGCGTGTCCAGTGTTGGTTGGCAACAAGTGGGGTGAGCTTCTGTTTTGTCTGATTCCTTATAAAAGCATCCTGAGTAGAAGTGCAGAGTATTTACTGGGGAAGGATGTTGATTTTAAAGAAATTGAATGGAGCGCATGTTGGCCTAATGATTAGGTCCTGCATCTCATGTACAGAGGCTGTAGTCCTCAAGCAGCCCAGGTTCCCTGATTTCATACTATATTCACTGCCCTAGCCCAAAAATCAATCTAAAAAAAAAAAATGTAATAACCCAGAGTAATTAAAAAGATTCTAACAAGAAAAGTAAACATCTGAACTGAATAATACACAATTAAAGGTCTATTTTACAGTTGTATTACCCTTAATTTCATCTGTTCTGTTTTTAGTATCAAACAAATGGATCCATGAACGAGGCCAGGAATGGCGGCGACCTTGTGGCATAAATGAAACTGACTGATGGGAAATAGGAAGCCTGTTCATCAACTTCCCTGCTCCCCTCTCACCTTCCTTGTGAACCACCCAGGACCACAGAGCACTGCTGCACACAGATGATGGATACAGACACACAGGGTTCAAATGGCTCTCTCCCACCCCACAAAGTGGTGCTGTGTTTCCCTTCGGCTGTTACACTCAAAGACCACATATCGTTATGGTTGATGATAAGCCCCTGGACAGTATTAGCATTGCTGTGACATATAAGGTGTTTTTTTTTTTTTTAGTTTGTTGGATGGTTTCGAGATACACTCAGTGTGTCCCGTGTAAAGTCATGTGTCCTTTTTGCACTCTGTATGAACTCCAGCTCTGTGGTGACGTTATCCCTCAGTATTGTCTGTAGGGACCAGCCTCCTCCCTGTCTGCTTACCTTAAAGGTACAGTTTCCGTTTTTTAAGGGGCCTCTTCATTACTACAACAGAGCACATTGGCTTGTTGAATTTGAGAACGTTTAAGATTTTTTTCTTCACATTTCAGATCATAGCTTATTAATAATAATATTCACCAATTTCAAAACAAATTCAACTGTCCTATTTTCTAAAGGGCCTTTTTTTATATATCTTTACAAAAGGTTTAGGTCAGATTCTTTGTATTTTTTTTCTGTATTTTCATGAGGTATTCTTCTGTTTTAAAAATAACTTAAATTCAAAAACAAAAGTGGTGCTCTGTTGAAAGAATGAAAAGGCTCACAGCACATGAATTGGCAAGTCTCCCCCCACAGTCCAGGAAGTGTCTATCACTTTTAGACTTGTAAATTACTGATGCATTGTTAAGTCTTCCTGTGACTAGCACATATTCATAAATCACTTTGCTTATTTCTCAGCCCTGATGCCAGAGTGTTATTTAAACTTAAAACGTGTCATTGACATGACTTAAAACATGACATTTTGCAAAACATTTTTATCCTTAATCAAGCAAAGTACACAAATGCATGGGCACACATACACCTTGACACAGACACCAGCACATAAATCTGTTTTGCATTGAACTTTATGTTTTCTTTTTACAGTTTATATCTGTTCATCTTGATTGTCCAAGTCTTTTTAGAGACTTAAAAAGAAGACACTAAATATTTTAAGCAAGAAGAGCAACTAAGGAAAGAACAGTACATGACATTAAGTATTTGAGGGGTGATGGGACACACATCACGTTGTACCCTTTTTTTTTAGAAGAAAATGATTGAGGTGGGATATGTGGGGTGGCTAGTGTTTTTCAGTCAAAGAATATATGGGTTTTTCCAAGGAAGACACGTTTTATTTATATGTCCCAAGCAAACTGTGTGTTGTTTTATGAATGAAAGTCTGAAATTGTGTTGTTTTTTTTTACAATAAAGGCTTTTTTTATTGATCAATGAAGTGTGCTGCTGCAGTTCGTGTGCGCGTGTTTTGTGTGTGTGCGCGCGTGCGTGTGATGGGGATTTTGGCGTACGGTATGCAGGCGTCACGTGACTCTCCAGTACTAATGATACAGTGGCTTGTTCGTCCGTGGCAACCCGGGGCCAGACGTCTGACAGGTCGGGAGGACAAGGGCAAGCGTGACGGAGTGAGAGAGCAGAAGCAGCAGCTCGGAGAACAGAAAGTCAGATAACTATCCGTCCTCGACGTTTCAGTCAATACAGCTGAGAGCAGGTAACAAGAAAAGTAACGGTACAACAATGATGATGATGACCCAGGTGGAAACAACGGTGCACTATAATAATGGCTACGAGGAAGAGTATATGCTACAGGAAGATGAGTGGGACAGGGACATGCTACTGGACCCTGCCTGGGAACAACAGCAGAGGAAGGTAAGTCATCGAGAGAAGAATTAAAGAAGAATGAAATCAAACCCTTGTTTATGCTGAACATTACATCCAGAAGTTTTACAATTTAAAAAAAAGTCAACCTGGAGGCAGTTATTATTTTATTATAGTATCAAACTTTGTGACAGCTCTGTGTGGATGAGACCAAGAACACCAATGTATAGTAGAACATCCGGCTGACCCTTTCAAAATAAAACACTGGTTGGCGAAAGAAACTTTCCCAGGGTCGTCATGAGGGATGCGATCATACAATAAGGACGTTTATTACGATAAACGCAAAGTTACAACCAATTTCTGTTTGATTAGCAACATGCAAAACATCTTCTCCAGCTCGTATTCAACCAGTTCATTATTTCAAGGTGGTTAAATTACACAACATTAAAAAGTGAAAACACAATGATAAGTTGGTAAACCCAAACCACCTTATGGAGCTATGGCATGAACCTCAGTCAGTGTCATTACTGCTGTTTAATTTTTTCTTTATTTCGAACGATTAAAAAATAGATGAAAACGAATAAACAAATGAAAAAATCTGTATTAAAAAAATAATAATAATAAAAAAGTCAATTTCAATATAATACACATTTGGCTCGTTCGATAGGAAGAAGCCTAGGCTTGTCAAGTCCTACCCCCATTCTTCACCATTGAACAAATGCAAAATCCAATAAAATAAACTAAACGGACAATACAAAAAAAAAAAAAAATTACTCCAATCGAGCTATTAAGAAAAACAGAACAAAACAAAATGGTAGCCTATCCAACTCTCAAAGTGAACAGTAAAGCCCGTGGTGCAGGAATAAATGATCATTCTTTAGGAATTAGGGGAAATGTAATATTACGAAATGTATCTTTTTTTTTACGAAGGTTTACTTTGGTGGATAGCCTCTCTAACTTCCGGCTTGGTTCTTTTTACATGCTGCTACCTTGACGCAGCCAAAGGTCTGGGGGTGATAGGCATGACAGACGGATGCGGTGGGTACCATCTAACAATAGCTCTGCCTTCCAGCGGCTCTCCAGACTGCTGCCTCTCCACTGATACGCGAGGAATGCGAGCTGTCAACAGATGCTTCTAACACATGATGACGCTCTTGGGGATTAGAATGGACGCTGCATCTAATTTTAACCTCAGGGACCAAAAGGCATTATAGTAGGGTTAATCCAGTGTCCTTGGTGGGAATTCTTTTGTTTATAGAAACCATGCAGAAATATCGTACCAGCATCAACCCTACTCAATATAGCCTCAGCTTCCCACACTGTCAGTTGGTTTTAGGGCTTTAAGAGCTGGCCTGGGCCTTAAAATGTAGCCCTTTGCACAATTGGGACCACAAGCTTTATGCGTAACCTGCTGTGGCCTCAACAGTGATGACAAAACGGTGTATTCTTGGTAACACAAGGCAGCAACACTACAGTCATCTCATCTCCCATGTCCATATTATAAACAGCTATGTTATAGGGCAGGGGTGGGCAACTGGTGGCCCCATCAACCCTCAACGTGGCCCGCAAGTCGATTAATTGGAAACAGGAAGAAAACATGACAAAATCTGCATTGAAATCCTGAAAACCAGAAATATGTCCGTGATAATATTAGATCACTGGTATATGTTGAGTAAATTTGAGACAGACACATTGACTGTAATCGTTTTTGTATCCTACATTTTGGCCCTCTGGCAGTGAGAATTTAATGAATGTGGCCCTTGCTGTGACCGAAGTTGCCCATCCCTGTTATAGGGTCTCTGTTTTGCACATTATCATTTGGCGCTACAAGTGCTTAGTAGAGTGGTTCTGTAAGCAGCTGTTCAAATGTAGTGACTTGTTAAAAGATGGTTACATACAATAACACTGGTGTTTCTCTTACTGCCTGTTTGTTACCATAGACCTCTGGTAGACATTCCCAATGAGCGTGATTTTAAATCATGCGAGCAGTAGGAGCTTTTCTTCATAGGATTTCAATCTTATGATGCTTTTTGAAATTTTTTATCCATTACCTGACATAGACAGGTTCATGGAGGACATTGCTAAAGCTATGAGAACCACTAAGCCAAGTCCTAGTGGCAGGGTGTTGTGTTACCATAAGTGAAAGTGCAGAACTGTCCTAAATTGACTAAAATCATTCAATGGAGGGAAAGGGTATTCAAAACTTAACTGTTAGGTCACAAGCTATTTGTAATAAGTGTAACATTTGGTTGTCATTTGTTCCCCATTCTCCTGGACACAGCTGACTGAATTGGCCTGGCCTTAGCCACTTTAAAGGGAGGGTTGGACTCTCTCTGGATGTGATTCATAAATATTTTTAGCTTTTATCGTCACTGGTCAGTAGTGTCGGAAGGGACAGTAGGGCGGGTAGGCTTGGAAAGTGGGCATTGAGGTTCTTCGACTGTGACTGAGTCAAATTTGGGGTCCAGCAGGCCACACATTTTATCAAGGAGGGCAGACGTCCACTGTCTCACACACATACACAAACACACACACACACACAAACACACACACTTTTCGTGTGGAATGAGATGATCTTTACGCCAAGCCTTTTGATATTCTGTTTTTTCACCAGCAAGATGGTGGAAGAATTAGGGCTGGAAAATGGCTAGAATGTCTTCCTCAATTTATGACAATTTACTGCATTAATATAAAAAAACTACAGGACTGAGTGCACAAATGCTTGTGCGTTCAAGTTGAAAGATGCCCACATAAAAAGTATATATACTGACCTACTATTGAGAAAATTAAACAAATTACTACTTACAATTGTCTTTCATTCTAAAGGAATAAAAACAAATTCATGGCACTAGAACAAAATACAATAAAGGTTAAGATTACCGAAAGTGAAAAATGAAAAGACCAAAAGAACCTGATGATTATTAATTCTGAATAACTTAAACATATCTGAAAATAAATGTAAATCCACATTTACCCGAAAATACTTTAAAAAGTACCCCTTCAGACCTATTAGTTTCTTATGAATACTATAGGAATAAATGGGCTCATTGATTAAACACCTATAAACATTAAACAATATTTCTAGTTTATGATAGTGGCCTATTTGGATGTTTTTTTTGTACTGAGGCAGGGGTTGACATTCACTTTGACAGATCTTTTCATGCATCCTGCCGGTGGTATACCCTTCAAATGATTTGGATTTCTGACTTTGTTCCTATCCTGTATCCATTCCTGCCAGTCTTCATACCACAGCATAGTAACAAGTGTGACCTGGAAGGGCTGCATACATGTACTGTGATAAAGCTGTCGCCTTGCAGCTGTAACCAATCACTTTATAAGTGGCAAAGTAGTGACAAAGAGTGACGTGAAGGGAAAACTTGCTCTGCATCCACGTGACATTTCCATTCATGTTGACATGGCGAGACGTTTTGACGCTTTTCCTCCCGGCCTCTTATCGTGAGGCACAGCAGAGCGGTCTAAATTTAACACCTTATATCGGTCGGAATGTGCTCTGTGGTCGGCTCCCACCTTTCATCTGATCTGTACAGTGCTGAGCGCCTGTGAACTCTGCTTGTCTCTATTGAAAGGGGATATTAAAATAGGAGAAGACAATGATCCTGTCTTAACGTGATTTACAGTATTTCAGTGCCACGCATAGAGTTTGTTTGTTCTGATGGTTGTAAGCTTTAGAAGACAGAGAAAGTTGCAACTTGACACGTATGTAACTGAAGGTTAATCTGAAAATGTAACACTGGTTCAAAAAGGTCAACATTTATTTGTATAATCTTGCAGTGAAGATCTGTTAAGATGTAAGCTTTCTCAGTTTGTTTAGGTCTTTCACAAAGATAAATGTCTTGTTTATAGTTTAATCCATGCAAAGAAAATGATTTAAGTTGAGCTCAAAGTAATATTGGAAGCAATCTACCTCAATCACTTTTATATGGCAATGAACAATGGGCAACATGGCTCATAAAATGAGACCTTCATTAAATGTCCTTTTAGTTTCCCCAAATAGTGTTCAGATTGATTTCTATGCCAAGGTCTTGTGAAGGACCTGCTGGAAAAATCCGAAGAATGCAACGTTACAGTGTTAGCAGAATGCTTTGCCTTTCTAAACACAAGCTAACATAGAAAAACAGGGGGTTTCCACCACGACACACGCTGGAACCAAGCTCAAAAAGAATTCACACGAGATGCCTGTCTTGCCAAACTGTGTCACAATTCAGAACTTCAGTAACATAGGTGGGGCTCTCGATTACTAGAGGGGGTAGAGGGGGAGTTTTGTGTGGCTTTTGTTAGCAAGCGCCAAAAGGATGAAACATTAGCTACATTGTCTGATGCCAGGTCTGACTTGAGTTGTACTTTGACTAGTTTGCCATTAAGAAGAAGCTAACATTAATGCAGAACCGACAACTAGAGTAGCTAGGTTATAGCTAGCCAGTTGTTTTTTTTTTTTTTTATAAAAGTTATTTCAAGTAATATACTTTAATGTTTGGGGGAAAAATGTATAAGAGCGCTGGAAACAGCAGCGTTTTAAGCTAGGTCCTGTTCATGTTTTGAAAAGCCACCAACTGTTGCTCCGAGCAAAAATGTTCTAAAAAAAATAACCCAGATCTTCCTGATAGCTTGTAGTGGGAGCCATAGAGCACATACATGATAGTGTCATTCATTTACACCTCCCAGACCCCATGGCTCTGAAGTATTAGGACAAAAACCTCTGAATGAAAACAAAAAAGAAGCTAAATGAAAGTTTCAGCTAGCTAATTGAAAGCTTAACTTTAAGCCTCAATGATGAGAATTGGTGCTGCTGTGTGTTTATACTGGGATGTAAATGTAGGCCTGCCTCACAAAATATAAACCGATTTCAAGAATTCGCTTTCAAAATGTAATAAGGGAATGAAACCTCTCCTGGCTGTATAGATTTAGTTGGCTAGCTTAACAAATGAATTGAAGAGGATTTCTGAAACTAGCTTTTGTGTTACAAGGACCTACTTTTTTTGACTTTAGCTAATAAATTAAATATTTCTTGGTATGTAGCAAAGTCTAATATAAAATAATGCTGGTCAACTTTAGGACTTTGTGTGTCACTTTACTATTCTCAAGTTGATTGCTGTTTTTTACAGAGTGTGTGTTGCTTGCTGTAGTTCATTGTAGAATCTTGTGGGGGAAAAAATGAAATACTCGTGCATTCTTTTATAGTGGCTTTGCAATAATTCCATGGTAATCGCCCTGCATCTCTCTCTTGTCAGACATTCACAGCCTGGTGTAACTCCCACCTGAGGAAAGCTGGTACTCAAATTGAAAACATTGAGGAGGATTTCAGGAATGGACTGAAACTCATGCTGCTTCTGGAAGTTATCTCAGGTATGTTAACTTAAAGTTCTTCTTAACTGAAACTAAACTTCTGTTAGTTATTTCAATATATTAGGAGTAGGACTTGTAATAGTACACCAGTAGGGTTAAATGCACATGATAACAACTGTAAGACACACTTATTCGCAGTAGTTGTATTTGTTTGTTGGTTATTTGTTGGTTTAATGTGACATAATGTACGTGTTTTAATGTGTTTTTCGTTGGAATTGACACACAACACATAAATATCTGACTGAGTCACATAATGATCTGCCTGCAGGAGAAAGGTTACCCAAGCCAGACAGAGGGAAGATGCGGTTTCATAAGATTGCTAATGTAAACAAAGCGCTGGACTACATCACAAGCAAAGGAGTGAAACTGGTCTCTATTGGAGCTGAAGGTAAAGAAATCCCTTATGTTAAATTTGGCTAGTATGAACTCGAACACATAAAGGGAGAAATAAACACGTAACTGATTGAAACATGTTTTGTTTTTTCTTTTCAGAGATTGTGGACGGTAACGTAAAGATGACCCTTGGAATGATCTGGACTATCATCCTCCGCTTTGCCATTCAGGACATTAATGTGGAAGGTGGGATAATACATATAAACATATACATATAATAAATCTAAATGAAGTTTATTTTCTCAAAACACAGTGTCAACTGAACATACACTTGAAAAAGCTATACAAAATGTAAATTGCAGGTTATGATGTAAAACCTACTGTCAAACATTTATTTTTCTCTCAGAAACATCTGCCAAGGAAGGTCTTCTTCTGTGGTGTCAGAGAAAGACTGCCCCTTACAGGAATGTCAATGTCCAAAACTTCCATGTCAGGTAAGCGAACAGCAAATGTTTTTGATCAAATGCTAATCTTCATTATCAAAAGGAAAGGTTAAAAATGTCATCACAAGTTGTAAAAATATTTGTTTATTGAGTGATTAGGTTCTTCTGATAGCATTATGGGATATCTTCCTAAAATAAAGCTTGACTTTGACCTGACATGTTGGTTCTCTCCGCTCATCGGGCCGGTGTAGCTGGAAGGATGGCCTGGCCTTCTGCGCCCTGATTCATAGACACAGACCCGACCTGCTCGACTACTCTAAACTCAACAAGGTGTCGTGTGGTTTCACTTGTAACCAGGATGCCGTGTTTCTCACTAACAGAGTTATTTCCACACATTTAACACTTCTGTCACAGTATAAACGGGTGAAAAATAAGTACACAAAGATGAATGTCACTTAAGGCTACTTTTAATGATATGCTGTGAAACGATGATAACTCTCAGTCTAAATCCACGACTGGTAGTTTGTGAAGTATTTGGAGTACAGGGAAGTATTTGATGCAGAGATGATGACAAAATATGCCAGATTTAGCTTAAAGTAGTTTGTTTTTATTTGCTTGTTTTTCTCATGGAACTCCTGGAAAATGTGTAGCATTTTAAATGACACACCCTTGTTTGCAGTGTAATTTATTCAGGTTGAATTACGGTGAATGTTGCAGTGTTTGGTGTAGCGTGAGTTAAACAGTGTGTCATTTCACTATTGAACATAAGGCATTGGATGTATTTCTTCTTCCCAGCAGAACGGTATTCAATTAGTCCCACCTCACGCTTCATTATTTTGAGGCAAATCTCTTACTTGGCTCATCATTTTAGCAGAAGAATCCTAAAAAAACCTGTTTATATTTTTCCACTGCACTGTGCTCATCACAATGTTGGATTTCTAAGTCTGGGTTTGTTCCCTTTTGTGCATTGACGAAAACCTGAAATGATAAATATGCAAAGCCAGGCATGTCTGCCTTTAAACTATGACAAAAGATATTCAAGTTAGAATATTCCCACCAGCATATTGGGTGTGTTTGCATGTGTTTCCTCGGCAAACAAATCCTCAGCTCATTTTAATATTGTGGCTTTAATAGACGGCCAGGGTTGTCTGTGTTTTGTATAAGCAGGTGAGGGCCTCAGTGAGCCTGGATGCTTATTATTCCAGCACTAGAGAGCACAGCTGACAGCCTCTTCTGTGTTTGTTTGTAAGGCAACAATAATATTCAAGTAAGGCACCCCTCTTCGTCCTAGAAGGAGATGCCGTCTTATCAAGGTGAAGGCAAGGGCTAATTTTGAAGCGTCTCCTCTCATCGTGACTGGTTATGAGGAGTGCCTTTTTCATTTGTTTTGGAAACAGAAGCTCTCACTTTTCAGTACGTAACTCCCTGTCCTGACTTGGAGTTGACCCTGAATAGTCACAGAAACATGAGCCTAGTCCCTGCAGAGCTCAGGCTTAGCTTTGCTGCTGCTATTGTCACATAGTGTTCCCCCGTTAGAGGCTCCCAGGCTCAGGAAAGTGAGGAAGAAAACTGTGGAATTGTCACTGTGGTTTTTATTGAAGTTTATATTAGTGCAAAGATAGTGTATCAGGAGAAGAGATTGAACGTGGCTATATATTCCTCTAAACGGCTATTTCTCACTCTTTAAATCTATTTGACACATATTCACACATCCAGTCACACCTCGACTTTTCAGCTCTGCTTTTGCTGCCAGGAGACAGATTCACTGTGAGCCAGGCAGCTGTTGAGTCTGGCTCCAGGTGAGCGCATTTGTTAAGCTTGCTGTGATACAGCCTGCTGAGACTTATCTGGTCAGGGATGCGCACACACACACACACACACACACACACACACACACACACACACACACACACACACACACACACACACACACACACACAAGCACAGGCTCAGGCGAGCCTCGGGGTATCCTTCTATCCGTCCATCCCTCCATCCATACCGTCATCAATTTACCACCCTATTCATCCACGTCTCTCTCCTGCACTGGATCTGTGAGCAGCTGGCCCTGTCATGTAGTGTCCCCGCCCCCACCCCATCCTCCACCATTATAGAAGAGTGGTCCAGAGATAGGGACAATAGCAGCGACAGCAGCATGATAGCATGATCCCTTTACCCCCACTGTCCTCACTCACCTCACTGACTGTCCCATTAGCAGGGGGGAAGGCTTCACCGTCAGCTGTTGGCTCAATGCATCACTCCCACCCTGTTTAAAATGTTGTTTCTCCCAACAGAACAACTAAGTTCTTTGATAAAACAATTTATTTGAAATACATGGATGTTTTTCTTTTTTTTGACAATTTATCCTAAAAGTGTAGTTTTTCCAAGTCAGTGTAAAAATAAACATCGCTGGCTTCTTGGGTTCATACAGTGAACATTTCCAATTCTTTGATTTGCCACAAACATCATCATCATACTTATTTGAATAAAAAGATAAATAATTATACTTACCAGTGAAGTTACCGCTTGTAGTTTTCAGAAAAATCCCAGTTTTGACCAAAAAAGTGATTCATATATGTTTTAAGAAATGATTTTTCCATTAAGACATGATCCATGGGACTGATATAATTTCAACATCAACATGTGTTGTCCCTGATAAACAACCAGAAAACACTTCAGTCAATCAGTTTAGGCTTTTGTGCAGCAGCTCTTTCAAGTATAAATTTAAACGAGTGCCGCTGTAGAGTAGGTGATCAGGGAGTATGATGTGTCAACCATAGCATGGAGGTCAGTGCGGTGGCATTTTAAGTCCAGCATTGCAGTCCAGTGATGCAGAATTGTGTTTCTGTATTTAGGATGATCCTCTGGGGAACCTGAACCTGGCTTTCGACATAGCCGAGAAACACCTGGACATTCCCAAAATGCTGGATGCAGAAGGTAATGTTTAATGGAATAGATGTATCCTAATTTCAACCTGCTCATAAACTTCTCATCGAAATATGGATGAGGGAATTGTAAGTCTTTTTCACTGCTTGTGTTTGAGGATATTTTGTCTATTTTAGCTGAAAAGAAAAAAGACAAAAATTGATTCTCAGTTTCTGTCTCCCTTCATTCACTTTTCTTTGTGATTTTTCCACATTTAGATTTTTTTTGTCTTCCCTCACATTTCAATAGATATCATCAACACCCCAAAGCCCGATGAGAGAGCTATCATGACCTACGTGTCCTGTTTTTATCATGCTTTTGCTGGAGCAGAGCAGGTATCGCTATTAAAACTATTCCCATAACAATTTCTGTTTCAGATGAGTAAGTCATCCCTAATGTCTGTATGTTTTTTTAAGCATAGTGTCAGGAAAATGAATTTCTGGTGTGATTTTTACTTTTTGATAATAAATCAATTGTTCGGATTATGCGTTCAGTTAATTTAAAAGGATCAATAGGAGCATGACCCACTGCGATACTCTGCCTATAACATTTATTTTACCCTGTACTCTCAGGCAGAGACGGCTGCCAACCGGATCTGTAAGGTACTCGGTGTAAACCAGGAGAATGAGAAAATGATGGCGGAGTATGAGAGACTGGCCAGTGAGGTGAAGCATTATTTGAATTTCATTAAATATAAATGTATAGAGAGCTACCCTTCGTGTGAAATGATGACACTTTGTGTAATAAAACCTTTGATGTTTCAAAGCAAAATTGGTGAACTTTAGAACTTTTGTGCATAATTGTTTGTACATGTGACAGAACTTTGTCCTCTGCTTATTACATGATGAAAGAAGTTCAAAGTAGACTCTTTTCCTTCACCCACTCCTGTACATCATTGTAACAATAAGCTGAGACCAATCTGCTGAAAAATTTCATCACAGTCTTTCTGACACACTACTTCCTAACATGGAGCACCTTCACCTGTCCATTTGTTCACATGTTATCTTTGTGTTTCCCAGCTGCTGGAGTGGATCCACCGCACCACACCCTGGCTAGAGAACCGGACTCCGGAGAAGACCATGGCAGAAATGCAGCGGAAGCTGGAGGATTTCAGGGACTACAGACGCCAGCACAAGCCCCCTAAAGTGCAGGAAAAGTGCCAGCTGGAAATTAACTTCAACACCCTGCAGACCAAGTTGCGCATCAGCAATCGCCCTGCCTTCATGCCCTCTGAGGGGAAGATGGTGTCTGTAAGTCACATTGTAAAATGTGTCTTCTGATTGTAATTAAGTGGTGTGCATGACAAGTCTTAGACAAAATTAATTTGCTGCCAAATCTTATATAGGACTAAGAAGTACTTCTGAGGTTCTGAGAGTCAAACATTAGATGGCGATTTGTTCAACTTTTCTGCAACTGCAAATAATGCAGAAAGAATACATTTCTACCCAGCTTGCTTTTGCCACTTTACTTCTTGTACTTCTATTGCTTTTCTATTTGAGGCACTGTTTATTTTCATTTAAGCCTCATACACATTATATTTTATACTACCTTGTGATTTCATATTTCACCTTTATTTAATGGTTTTTCATGTTATTAATATCTTTTTTGTATCTTTATATTTTTCTGTCAATTTTTAAACATCTTAATGTAATACATTTAAGCTATGATTTGTCTATTTCCCTTGTGTGTACAGGACATAGCCAGTGCATGGCAGGGCCTGGACCAGGCAGAGAAAGGCTACGAGGAGTGGCTCCTTACTGAGATCCGGAGGCTGGAGAGGCTGGACCACCTGGCTGAAAAGTTCCGCCAAAAAGCCACTAATCATGAGAACTGGGCCAGCGGTTAGTTGTAGTTTTGCTTTCTCTACCTCTCTGTGTTGTATGTTTATCTGTTCATCTTTGCTTGCTAGCTCAATATTCCCCTACAGGCCTCTGCATTCCTGATCGCGTGTGTCCAGGGCTGTTGTTTAGATTGTTAATCATCTGACTGTTCCCATCTTTGACCTCAAACCTCTCTCCCCCTTATGTGTGATATTTAGGTAAAGAACTGATGCTGTCCCAGAAGGACTTCGAAACAGCCACCCTGACAGAAATAAAAGCACTGCTTCGAAAACACGAGGCCTTCGAGAGCGACTTGGCGGCCCACCAGGACAGAGTGGAGCAGATTGCAGCTATTGCTCAGGAACTAAAGTACGCACTCTCTTTAGCAGACATTTTGCGCTCATGTGTCATGGAGGCCCAGGAGTGTGTTTTAACTCCTGCCAAACAAAATCAGAGAAGGAGGGATGGAGGGATGGAGGGAGGGAGGGAGAGAGAAACAGATTTCTGTTCCGTCTTTCACATATTAACTACAATTATAGTTTTTTGGCTCAAGACACAGTAAAACCTACGAGGCCTGGATTGATTTGGAATACAAGTAAAAAAAATTGCATGTGGTGGAGAAAAAGAGTGCATAATTTAAAATTGAAGTCACATGTGAGATAATTTTGAACCATTATAGAAAACATTTCTATAAAATACCCGCACTGGTGGCGCAATGGTTAGGGCGCACGTCCCATGTGTTGAGACTCATCTCGAGCGGTAGGCCCAGGTTCACTTCCACCCATGGCCCCTTTCTGCATGTCATTCCCTGGTTTCCGACTCTGTCCACTGTCCTCTCTCTGCATTAAAGGCACAAAAAGCCCAAAATAAATCTTAAAACATAACAAAAAAAAATACCCTCTTCTTCTTTAAGTGATTTTCACCCCACAAAGTCTCAATACAAGGGTTAGGGGTGTGGCATGCAATCAGCAGGCAATGATGAACACCTGTTGTCAATGATGAACACCTCGCCGTTACCTTCTCAGTCGGTGATTTGTCAGAGAGTATTTCCAGTATCGTATTTAACCGGTGCTCTGACAGAAGATGATATCATTTCAGCTGACAAGCAAAATGGCTCTTCTAGTCCATGCAAGGTATGTGGTTTGTTTAATGTTTTTGTGAATGTTGTTTGCAATTTGCTGGTTGTTCTTTCTCACATTTTTGACCCTTGCTGTTTGATTTTGTTTTTAGTCAGTTGCTTCTTCTTACATTGTTAAGCTGGAATGTCTACTGCTTTCCTGCTGAGAAAGGTAAAATCCTTATTTCTCTGACTTTAAATGTACTCCGAAAGCATTTGCTTTTACTCCATGTAAATATTTGTAAACTCTCGTTACTTAATTCTAACTTTATATTTTCACCTAGGTGGAAGTCTGTATGACCCTAATGTAGGGAGTTCCAACAGCCCTCCTTTCCTCCATTATAGCTCACTGAACAACGCTCCTGCTCAGCCTTCCAATGTGAATCACCCTGCTGGCTCCTTCAAGTATGAGCCACAGCCGGTGATGGAAATTGGACCGCAAACATATCCAGCAAGCTCTACTCGTGATGTACACAAGGTGGCTTCATGGGATGCAGCGCATGTTGAGTATGCGCCTACCCACACCATGTCTCAACCCCTGTCTTACTTAACAGGCTTTGAGCATGGTAACTCTGAGGAGCAGAGCTATCCTCCCCCTCCACCTCAGTCTTCCTATCAGGCAGGTGAGCTTGACAACTACGAAGCAAACTTCCAGCATGGTAGCTTGGAACAAGAAACTGAGGCGCTGAGCTATCCTCCCCCACCGCCTCCTTTTCCAGAAACATTCTACCAGGGTGGTGAGTTGAGTCATTATGAAGCTGTGATTGAGCACGGAAACAGAGAGAGGGAAACTGAAGGTCAACGATACATGCAGGCACCCCCCTCCGCTTCGGCTCACGCTGTAGCTGAGCAATTTTCAGCTCCTTCCACGTCTAAAGAAGCCCCCCAACAGCAGGGTTCACAAGCTCTGGGAGCATTCAGGCAAGACCAGTTCTACCTATTCCTGACTGGTCAGCTTCCTCCTGGCACAGTCTCTCACTCCCAGTCCAGCTATGAAGCAGGCCAAGACCACTGGGATGAAGTCCACTACGAGAAGTACCACTTTCCCTCGGCGCCATATCAAACCGAGACCCAACAGGTTCCCAATGATCAGGTCTTTCAGAAGGCCCTGGACCCCGGCAAGACCTCTTAATCAAGAAGTTTGAGAACCAACTTGATGTAAAGGCAGTGCCTGTAGTTTGATATCTGTATTAAAGTTGCTGCTTCTGAAATTTTAATAAAAAAAACTTTAAATAGGACTGTGGTGTTATATGTTGTTCTTCATGGGAACCAGAGAACTGCAACAGTGCTGTTGGTACCAAAAGGGAATGTGGCAAATTAAGTCCTACAGCTCAAGACTTCTAATAATTTTGCTCTTTGTGTAGCCAGTGGGGGGGGGAGAGGGTGTCTAAATATACAGAGGCACTGACCAGTTGGTTGTCTAAAATTGAAATGCTAAAGACAAGTCTTGGCATCCCCAGCACCAACAAAATGCCCAATTTATAAACTTAAATCAAGCATCTTTGATTATCCACCTTAATTTGTTCCAGTGCAGCGGTGTTTCATGGTTTGAACTTTTTTTTTTCTGGTTGTGCACCACAGACACTGACATACCCTGTAATTTAATGCTCTTATCCTCAACTGACGTGTGTTTTTTTTTATTTTTTGTCCCCCTTCTCAGTGAGCTTGACTATCATGATGTTGCTGCTGTGAACCAACGCTGCCAGAGCATCTGTGACTTGTGGGACAAGCTGGGGACTCTGACCCAGAAGAGAAGGGAGTCTTTGGAGGTGAAGGCAACATTTAAGAATAAGATCAAAATATCACTGTCTGTGAAGGTTCTCAATCATCCCTGATGTGGTTATCCAAAATGCCATTGGACTTTGTTGAAGATCTTTAACTAAAATGAAGCCCAGTTGCCTTAAGGAATACATTTGAATGTCATTTGAATTTACAGTTGCAGATGAAAAGCATTCATTGACAGTTGAGAAGCTATCTCTCATGAGCTTTAAGTGTGTGTTTGTTATAGCTGGTGATTTCTTGAAATTTGAAGGATTCATTTCTTTGCGCGTGTTGGGCCAAATCCCCACAAGAGTGCGCTAATGTTCCACTTGGGCCACAAAAGATACAGGATGAAGTTGCGTCCAAGACTGACTTAGTGTAAGCATATTCCAGTGTCTGTCAATGACATCTGAAAAGTGAAGACACAACTGATTAATGAGGAGAGATAATTGGATCCCCTTTAAAATCCCTGACCCAGATAGAATGGTAAAATGGGAGGGGTGAAGGGGATAAAGGAGAAATAGATGTAAGAGTCCTGTACAGAAAGTGACTGGCTGATGGCCCACCAGCCACTTCCTCTGATCCATGCTGGCCATTCCAAACTGCAAATGTGTGAGGGCCCGGGCAAAGGGCCAAGGATTAAGTCTGAATGACAGGGACAGAGGTCTGCTTTTTGTCTCATCTTCCACTCCCTGCTGTCCCCTGTTGGGGTGGAGGGTTTTTTTGGGGAAAAAAACCAAAGCCAGGGTTGGGGGTGAACAAGGCCATACCAATGTTTTGCACCTGGGATGAGTCATTTAAACAGGTGATAGGACGTTCGTTTGGGGATTTGTATATAAGACGGATCCTGCATTGGTGAGAAAAGAGCCTAATACTGAGAAAGAAGTCAGGTGTTGCAGGTTTTTCAGGATTTAATAATGCTGTGATGTCTTGTAATCCTCTCAGCGGACAGATAAGCTGCTGGAGACTATTGATCAGTTGTTCCTGGAGTTTGCCAAGAGGTCTGCTCCTTTCAACAACTGGATGGAAGGAGCCATGGAAGATCTGCAGGACATGTTCATAGTGCATACCACTGACGAGGTCCAGGTAGGTTCAAATACACTATGCTCGCTAACTGACAACTACTTCTGAATTAAATTTACATAATTTTTCCAGTTTAAAAAGCCTTGTTAGGATTAATCCTGCTCTCACTTTCCCTGTGTCATGGATGTTTCATATTATATATAGTTGTGTTAGTAGGAATGTCACATCTCAAATAGAGAAAAGCATGAAATGTTCTCACTTTTGAGAGAAATTTCAATAAAAATTCAGGACTTTCCTATTCCACCTTCCAGAGTCTAATCGCAGCTCATGAGCAGTTCAAAGCTACCCTTCCTGAGGCGGATGCAGAGAGACAGGCCATCCTGGGAATCCAAAATGAGGTGCAGAAAATCTCCCAGAGCTACGGGATCAAGGCCAACATTATCAACCCTTACGCCACCATCACAATTGAGGAGCTCCTCAACAAGTGGGAAAAGGTAGCTAACTAGCTAGGGCTCGTATATCATATTTATTCAGACACTTCCACTGTGGGAATAGTGATTATTCAGGTGGAAGCTGTCTGGTCATGTACAGCTACTACATCTCAATCTAAATTCCATAGATGAAATAAAGGTTAAGTGCTTCTCTTATATTTGATCACTGACTTGAAGGACTAAGCACCTTAAATTATTGTAACTACACTAGTATAATTCCACTCAATGTAAATGGCTATTGTCAGGAGATGACTCTGAAATTACAAACGAGCCCTTTATATCTGTGTGCTTTCTAGGTGAAGAAGCTGGTTCCTCAGAGAGATGGTGCCCTCCAGGAGGAGATGGCCCGTCAGCATGCCAATGAGAGGCTGAGACGACAGTTTGCTGCCCAGGCTAATCTCATTGGTCCCTGGATACAGACCAGGATGGAGGTTAGACATACAGCCCTCATAGGCAGTATAGTTATCTCCAACTAATCAAATACATTCCAAAAGTGGAAGATAATTATATTTAAATGCTTTTGTACATATGGAAGGGTACAGTGATGGCGGCATTCCTGATAATCATGATGTTTAAATAATGCCAAGTCTTACTACTTTATGCTTGGATTTTTTCTTTGTTGCTTTATGTTCTGCCTTATTCTACATTTAGCCACAGGTAACTGATGTCTTCAAAACAGCCATCGACTTAGACAAGTTTATTTCAAAAATTAAATTGACCTTGTTTTGTCTTAACAGGAAATCGGGCGCTTCTCCCTGGTGATCGGAGGCACCCTGGAGGACCAGATGACCCAGCTGAAGCAAGTCGAGCATGTCATTGTTGCTTACAAGCCCAACATCGACAAGTTAGAGGGAGACCACCAGCTAATCCAGGAGTCCTTGGTGTTTGATAACAAACACACTAACTACACTATGGAGGTACAGAATAGTTTGTGTTACAAGAGCATGCCCACATATGGATCTGGTTTTCAGTTTTCTGAACAATATTTTTTATTGCACTAGTCAAGGTGCACCTTCAAAGTTATGTCTGCTTTGTCAACACATCAACAGCACATCCGTGTCGGGTGGGAGCTGCTCCTCACAACCATCGCCCGAACAATCAACGAGATTGAGACCCAGATCCTGACCCGGGATGCCAAGGGAATCAGCCAGCAACAGATGAATGAGTTCAGATCATCTTTCAACCACTTTGACAGGGTACAGCTTGATGCCTTTCCTTTAACTGAGACCTTTTTATTTGAGTGACTGATCTGTGGGTCACTGGGCGATAAGAAGCAGAGCGCAGGAGTAGATGTAGTCTTGTATTTAGAGATGGCGCAGTGACCTACATGTCCTCTCTGTGGAGGAGTTCTTACCAGGCCCAGGATCTGATGTAGTGGAGAAATAGGATGAGAATGTAGCAATCCTCCATTAGCCATCAGAGATTACCACACAAAATGCATTATCAACTTTAGCTGCTGTTTTTATATGGACAGTTAGACCATAATAAGCTATATTTTATGTCTCGTACTTCAGCTTGTGTTTCTGATATCATAGATAAGAACTCTTTGTGTTCTGTGTTCACAACTTACATGTTGCAGTGTGTGCAAGTATATATGCTACTATTTTTTTGAAGCCACAATATGGCCCTTTATAGTTCAATTAATCTTTAGTTTCTTTAATGTCTTAACAAAACAACACAAAAGATAAGGTGTTTAAAGTTAAAAGCATACCTCCATACACCTTTATTTTAATTTTTATAGTTGATTCCATGTAGTTGATTGAGTCTCATTTGTGAAAAGTTAAAACACACTACATATCTTTAAAAGCCAAAAATGACTGCTGGTTAAATACAGAAATTTAGATTATTGCATTGTATCTAATGCACTTTATTTGTGCCTCTATTTTGCTTAATTTTTTCTGTAATCTCCTCTTAATCCACTCTCTTTATTTCCTGCACTATGAACCTGAAATGTGGCATCTGACTGTAGAAGAAAAATGGAGCCATGGAGACTGATGACTTTAGAGCCTGCCTCATCTCCATGGGTTATGACTTGGTACGGTAATCCACAAGTTGTCTGTTGGATGGGGCTTAATTATCAGTCGTACTGTAACTGTGTTTTCATCTATACAGTACAAACTTGTCTCATTCTCTTCCTGTGCCTTTCTCAGGGGGAGGTGGAGTTTGCACGTATAATGATACTTGTGGACCCCAATGGTACTGGAAAAGTCTCTTTCCAGTCCTTCATTGACTTTATGACCAGAGAGACAGCAGATACAGACACTGCAGAGCAGGTTGTGGCATCCTTCCGAATCCTGGCAACTGACAAGGTATCCTTGAGTGTGTTTGTGTTTTTGCTGGCTTACTGGCATACATGCAGATATTCTGAGCCAAAACTTGTCTTTTCAATTCCAGTCATTATTTTCAAGTATTTGCATGCCATATTGATTTATGGTTTACAGAGAGTTTTGTTAATAGGCTTAAATTAGAAAAGGGGGGGGATGAACATGACACCTTTTTTTGGAAAAATTACTTACCTGCATTGTCTGTCCATCCCTACAGCCATACATACTGATTGAGGAGCTGAGGAGGGAACTTCCACCTGAACAAGCAGAGTACTGCATCGTGAGGATGCCGCCTTACGCCGGCCCTGGAGCACCACCTGGTGCACTGGACTACACCGCCTTCTCCACTGCCCTCTATGGAGAGAGCGACCTTTAACCAACTAGACTTGCCAACTAAATTTACTGACCATTTATCTAACTTCCCCCAAACCCATTGGCCTGCTCATCTCCTCATGATTTTAAGAAATCTGTAAGAACGTTGGATTAAATATGTTGAATGAAATGTGTTGTAAAAATACTAGCTCTTTGACGCATTAGACTGTCCATGATCATGTATCCTGGTACTTGTCTTGTGTCTCCTTGATAAATAAAACCCCCAAAATAATATAAGTTTCCATTTTCAAATAATTTAGTAAGCAACAGTACATTGTATATTTTATCTTGTGTGTCTTGGTAGTAGTGCAGAGAGAAGAGCTTTAGGATTAAGGTTAAACTGAACAAGAAATGTACTACACTAAAATAAATAATCATTCAGGAAAACTCCCTGCTAAATGTATTCTATGTAATGCTCTTAAAGAATGGCAAATCAATAATTTTTTGTTTTTGATTTCAAAGTAATTTGCAATTTGTGAACCATGCCAGAATACTGAAACACTGTGGATGTAATCAAATTAATGGAGTTTTCTGTGAAAAGGATCATCGGCCACTCGACACAATATGAACACTGAGGCACAGGATTCATTTAATGCTCTATTTAGATGCAAGCTATTCCCTTTAAAAGTTTATTTTCACTGCAAGAAATAAACAATGCCTTAGAAAACATTCAAAAATTAAGGTGGAAGAGCGGTTGTCAGTTTTGGTGAAAGCTTTGACCTGTTGTATTTTGGTTGAAAAAATATAGTTACTCAGGCAGTTCTGTCATCTTTGCAGGATTTGTTATCAATGAATTCAGTGAGTTACACTTTGTACTTGAGGGTAAAGTATTAATTCAATAAACTGTTTGTGACTTGTTCAAGTACTTTTTTCTTTCATTTGCACTTTGTCAACATAAACATTTAAATCCATATCCAAAAACTACATTGTCAAAATATATAACCTGCTATAGTGATAAATATGTCTTTAAATAAAAGGACAACGGCTTCATTTATTTTAAGTCAGATTGACTTAAATTTGATGTTTTAAATTCTACTCAAAACAATATTTTAGTGTAGCAACTAATGCCCTCATTGAGTTAGTTCAAACAGAAGAGCAGACACTATGCACATTTCTAACAGAATATTTCGAATTTCAATACTTTGTACTCAAATGTCGAGATTTGGATTGGATTGATCCATAACACTACTTAATACTCAAATACAGAGGTTTATAGTTGGAAAAAAAGTGGTTTTAGGGTTTAGTTACTCTAATTAAGGTTTGTAACTATTCTATTTAACAAGCCTTTTTAGACTTAGACTTAGACTTTCTTTATTGTCATTCAAACTTGTACTTTACAGTGCAGATAAGAACGAAATTTTGTTGCATTTGGCTCGTTGTAGTGCAGGATAAAAACAGCAGCATGTATTTACATATAAAAAATAAAAATAAGGTGCAGATATAAATAGATATAAAAATAGAAACTATGAGTGAAAATACTATACAGATAAATATATTGCACGTTATATTGTGTTTTACAGTCCAGTGAGGTAGTCCTGTGTGGGGGTTTGAGGGAGAATGGAGGGATTATTTTTTCCTGTTCAAAAGTCTTATAGCCTGTGGGAAGAAGCTGTTACAGAACCTGGAAGTTCTGCTTCAGAGGCTGCGGAACCTCTTTCCAGCGTCCAGCAGCGAAAACAGTCCTTGGTGGGGGTGGGAGGTGTCTCTGCTGATTTTCTGAGCCCTGGTCAGACAGCAGATCTTTGCGATCTTTTTGAGAGTGGACTCAAATTTAAGTATCCTATTCCAGTCTGCACAACAACCATTTTAACTCCAGTCCTTGATTTTCCCCCTAAGACATTTGAATCTGCCTACTTTATCAAAAAAGAGGAGGCAGGTCTTTCTTATTGTAGCCTTATACTCTGTATGAATGCTGATAATTAATTGTATACACATTCAGATACATTTTGGGCAAAGAAACGGAAAAAGTACACCAAAAACAAATAGTCAGAGATTGTACTTTGCAAGTGAATCATAATGATAATAAGTATAACAATTTAATGTTCTGATGGCCAAAGTGAAAAAAATAAAACTACTGTGAGTTAGAAACGTTGCATTTTAATTTTACATTACTCCCGCCAAAATAGTTGATAAAAATGGCGTCGTGGGAGGACCGGATCCCACTAGGAGACTCCGCCCACACATTATGAACAGCTGATCACCTTCTTGCTCCTGCTCCTCCAGTATTCACTTTTCTGCTTCAGTGCCATCAAAATTTCCTAAGTCTTTTCTAATGTGGCTTCCTTGGTTCAGAAAATGACTGACACAGGAGAGGGAGATGAAGAATACCAGTTTTTAAGAACGGTAAGACCCCCGTTTTTTAAACTAACCTTATGGCTAACTACTTGGTCAAAAGCTGATAAAACCCTTGAATTATGTTGTATGGGTTTAATGTCTTGAGTATGAGGATATTTCCTCAGAAGTAGCTGCTCATTAAAGTGTCTCCTAGCTTGTAGCTACCCTTCATTTTTAGATACTATGATGACTTTTTAAACACAACAACAAAGCAGTAGCTCAATGACAATATTTCTCAATACTGTATTATTTTTAATGATTTTCTTTAGACTTTGTTACATGTAAAGTCTTACCTTAGTATTCATGGTGGAAATCAGTTGTCAACTAAAAGTTTTTTTTTTTTTTTTTTTTTTTTTTTACTAGTTTCCTATTTAATTCAAATAATAAGGTTTAGTATAATTTACAAAAAAACAAAGCAATTATGGTAAGATTTATGTATTAAATCTGCTTTACTTTTATTGCAATCTCCCAGCAGGATTTTTCTATCTTCATCACCTCGGTTTGCTTAGTCACTGATTGAAAAGAAACACCACAAATGGCTTGTTTCATTTTCACTTGGAGATGCTGTCAGTGTTCCCTAGTCGTAAGTTGTATGGCCTCTTGTTATCTTTGCCCTCTGATAAGGCATGTCACAGGGAGTATCTGTTGTAGATATGACACAAACACCTATCCTCACACAGGCACTAATGCAGATAAACTAAACCAACCAAGCCCTGCTATTGGGGGAACTAACATTTTGAAGTTTGTTTCATGCATTAATATACTATTACTATAAATCAGGTTTTTTTTTATCCAGGAAACAGTTCTTTTTTGTTTTACTTGGAGTTTTTGATTTACCTGCTTTTCTCCAAAGGTCGATGTTTTTTTTTTTAATATCAAAACGTGTATTATATTTATGGAAGTTATTGGAGATTGTCTTTCTACATCTTCCTAATACCTGTTGCAGCGATATAATGATATATTAGGCTTTTTGACATTTGGATTAGGTAACGTGTATGCGTACATTTTCACTTTAAAAATGTAAGACGAGCTGAGCTCCTCTAGCTATCTGAATGGCAGACAGTGCCTCCGAGTTGGACAGTGTGTTTGACTGATTGCAGAGTGCTGCTGATATGAAAAGTGGATACCAGGGTGAATAAGGGGTCAGACAGTAAAGTATCTTCCCAATATGGAGGTCTGCAGCCTGGGTACAGAGAGGTGTTGGTGGTCCTGGCTGGGCTTTTTGAGACCAGTCGTCTGTTATCACTCTCTACGGTTCCTGAAATAGAATTGAAAAGCCAAATCTTTGGATGTAGGCATTTCAATGAAGATAAGATACATTTAAGGTGGAAGATCTACTGTACATGCTTTTTCTGTCAGGGTAAATCATTTAAAAATATAAATCTATCAAATAGCTGATTCTAGCAGGTTCTTTATCTACATTTAAGTAATTCAAACAAATTCTGTTCTAGACAACATTTTTGGGGCAAATTATAATATATTATTATATATTATATATTATATTATTATTATTTATGAGTCACTATGCTTGTCTTTCTTAATTTTAGGGGTCGTCTGTGTGACTATGACAACTTCTGTTTTTATTCACCAAAGTGCCGAAAACACTTAAGTAGACTACCATTGATGCCACACATGATTAATCACACTAACTTAAATGTTAAAATTCTGTGAAAAGAAAATACCATGCATCTAGTCTCAAAATATTTTATCTCAGAATAAGACAACACGACTGAAATTTGCAGGACTTATTTCGCCGTGAGCACGGAACAGTTTATGATACTATGGAAATCCATCTTTGATTATTAAAACATTACCCTTAGGGGACATTGACTACAGGTTTATAATTTCATTTTGTACTAAAATTGTATGTTATTGGTTATCCTATTGCTACTGGTCTTTAAAAGTACCGGTAAGTAATCATCAGTTATTGGTGTCGGCACGTGATGTATTCTTATTTGATTTATTCAAGGTTACTTATTTGACAGGTATTTGTGGGTTGGTTAACAGGATTTTTTTGGCTAGCAATATTGATATGAAAGTCTATTCCTGATCAGTTTCAGCTCTCGCCTTCCCAAAAACTATCAGTGCAGTCTTAATTTTATAGTCACACCATGACTTTACTCAATTTTTTTTGTGCTCACTGCTGTTGTCTCTGTGTACGTTTGATTTTTTCAGGGGGATGACGTGGTTCTGCAGAGTACGTTCACCTCCCAGGATGAACATGTGAAGCTCTGTCTTGCTGCTGAGGGATTTGGCAGCAGACTCTGCAGACTTGAGCCCACCTCTAACTGCAAAGTAAAGATCTTGCTAAGTTTTTCTCATTGGTAGTGCAGTTTTTTATTAAAATATTGATGTCACACTTCAGGGCCTGAGATTATTTATTTATTTTCCCCCTATGTTCTTCCCATAAAAGCAAACAAGACAATCAGAAGAATATTGATTATTTCTGTACTTGTATTTTAATCCCTTTCATCATTGAAAATTGATCAGTGTCAGACAAAGATTTTACAGCACACACACCAAGAACATTTGATTACGATCCGATCGGGAACACAACTTATTTATGAACGGGGTATAAGTCAAGTAAAGATATATAATTTTGTCTACAGGGGGCGCTAAACTCAACACAAATGAGAGTTTCTGACAGCAGTGTTAACATTCAGTGTAATAGTTACTTTCACCTCCAGTTACATTTTCCTCTCTTCTGCAGCCTGTGTAACAGTCATTTCTGAGCCAGTCTGTCTGATATACTTTTCACTGCTTCACCTCAGAAATGTTTCTAATGTCTGATTGACATGACTGCCATTGTAACCATCAGTATTAGGAGTAGCATACGGTATTATACTGTGTTTTACTATACACTTTTAAGTTTAAAGTTTAACCTTGATATTATAATTTAAGCCCTTTCCCCATACAAACAACATAGCCACCCAACAAATAAGGTAGAATGGGAACAATCTTCTAAGATATATAAACATTATATTCGTTAACATTAGTTAATATTATCTATATTGTTAATTGGGCTTTATTCTGGGTTAATTTATTTTCAAGTTTCG